GGCAAAGGCGTGGAGATTTCAGACAATGGGGGGGGGAGGCGAAAATGGCTGTATAGCGGTAGACTCCCCAACAGTCTAAGGGTGGAGCCCTTCCAGCAGCAACGGATTGCAGGGGGAAAGGTTTCCTCCCCTTTTGGATGGGCGGGCCACCGATCCCCCAATCCTAAAATTGAAAACGAAGGTCCAGTAACCCCCCACTCTGAGGAAAGTCACTCCCCAACAGGGGGAAATTTAAAATGGCGAATCGTTTTCAAATGGAGCTGTGTGTCAATTTGGGGTGTAGAGTAAAAGGGAGTAAAAATTTTTGGCAAAAGGTTATTGGATTTAAAAGGTGATAGTGGGGAAAGGGGAGAACCCAAGTCAGAAAAAAGAAGAGGACACTGCAAGGGGCAAAGGGCCCCACGAGTGGGAAAAAATAATGAAAAAAAAATCCCCAAAGGGCAGAAAAAAGGGAAAAAAAAAAAACCCCCAAAGGGGGAAAAAGGAAAGAGGGAGAAAAAAAATAAAAAAGGGAAATTTGGTTAGGTAAATGTTTTAAGTTTGGAGATTTTAAAATTGTAGGGGAGGGGAAGGGGTCTATAGAGCAAACCCACGACTAAGATTCAAAAAAGGGAAAATTTTTTTATTGGGAAGGATTAACCCAAGACGGTGACTTTTAAAAGTTGGGGAATTTGGGAAACAGTTTTAGCAAAGGGGAACCAGTCAATAGGAGGGCTGTGCTCGGGGCCGTACAAAAAAAGAGTTGAAGTCCCGGGAAAAGGCTTAACCCACTTTTGTGCCCCCTTTTCTTCAGAAAGGATCAACCAGTTTTCCATAGAAATTGAAGAGGACGGGAGGAGAAAGCAATAGAGACCATCGGGAAACCCCAAACCTTTTGGGGAGGAGAGGTATAAAACGAATTAGGGCAAAGAGGGGTTAGCCCTTGGCGGAAAGAAAGTTTGATGTCAAAGGGAACGAGAGTTGTTGAGTTTTAGAAAAACACCGAAAGGGTGGGGAAAGGGCAGGGGAAAAAGGTTCCCGGGAAGTAGGATTTTTGGGAGAAAAGGGAAATTACGTTTTTTAAAAAAAAAAAACATACCACGAGGGGGAGGGAACCCGCGGTCAGAGGTCAAAAAACCCCCAACCGTCCCCGTTTAGCAAAGGACCCAGCTGCAAAAAGATTCGTCCAACTAGGAGACAGGAGATTCGCCCAAACAGGAACTGAAATTAATTTTTTAACGGCAAAAACATACTAAAACCCCGCCTTTTTGGTTCGGGAAAAAAAAAAGGGCAAAATGATGAAATCAAAAAAAATGTTTTAATCTGCTTTACACAGCTTGGAAAATAAGGAATATCCACTGGGGAATTTTTTTTGAAAAAAAGAAAAGCTTTTGACACGTAGACCCCCGACATCCTACCCACAAACTTGCCCATTAGGGTTAAAAAAAAAAAAGGGGCCCATGCCTTGCTTTTTTCAAATTTTTCCTTACTAATGGGTATCGTATGTAAACCATTAAAACACAGCATCAACAACAGGGCCCCAATTGTTTACGGGATTTTCCGCGGGGAAGGCCTTGGCCCCCTGCTCTTCCCCCTTAACATAAAGGGACTTCCAAACGAAACCCCAACCCCTAAAACCCCATTCCTTTGTGACGAAAAGACAAATTTAATCTCTCCCCCAAAAACTTGCCCCCTAAACCCTTTGTTAAAAAGGAGCTGATAAAAATATCGACTTGGTTGACAGCCAAAAAAACTTACGCTTAAAAACCTGAAAAAAACCTACTATATTTTTTTTTGGTTTGCAGGGGGGGAAAATGCAAAAATTTAAAACTTTAAAAATTGAAAACACACAATTCCCAAAAAAATTTAATGAGGGAAAATTCCTTTTCCCTTATCCCTTTGACAAAAAACCTGTTTTTTTCAGAAACCATATCCAACAAAAAAACCCAAAAAAGTACCCAAAAAAGGGTTGGTTTTTCCCTGCAAGATACAAAATTTAGGGGCCCGAAAATTTTTTCCCTTCTCCCCACTAAAACCCTAAATTTATTTATCCAAACCTCCAAAGCTATTTGTGCTTGGGATCAACTGCAGCAACACCCCCTTAAAGCCAAAATTTAAACCAACAAAAAGCTGCAGTAAGAATAACACTAAATTTCCCAAACCCCCGGCAACAACCCCCCCCCCCTCTTCCCAAAATCTAAACTTACCCCCCTGTTCAGAACTTTCCCCACTTTTCTAAATGTGCAATCTACATCTACAGGGAAATTTTAAAATCTAATATCAACCTTGACCTAAAAAGCTTTCTTGATTTTGTTGGAAAAAGAACCCCCCAGGCATTCACCAAACACAAACAAATTTTTACACTTTTTCCCGTCCCACTAAACCTTTACCAAAAAATTTAAAGTAAGTCAAAGGCCCCAAAATCTGGGGAAAACCCCACCTGGGGAAAAATTTGAACTGCAGACAAAATTCCTCACCTTCAAAACTTCCATTAGAAACATCTTATCTCCCCGATACCCCCATCAACTAATACAACCCAATTCCCCCTGGGGGTTCAAAACTTACACCCCACTCACCCATTTTTACCATAAACGAAAAATTAATCTTTATTTTTAAAATAATGAAACCATGTTTCCCAAAACTTTAAATTTATTATGCTGTCCCATGGATATTAGCTAGAAAAGTTCTCTTTCCCACCCTTGGATTAATGCAAATGAAGCCTCAAAGGGTTTTTCTTGGCTGTCCCGATCTACAAAAATTCTTAAAAAAGAGGAAGGGGCTTGGTATTTCCCAGTATCAGTGAAGGAAAATTGAGATTAAACTGTACCCCGGTATTAGAATGTTTTAGAAAAGGGGGCCCAAAACTTCCCCAAAAGAATCTTACCAAAATGTCTAGAGGTTAAAAAACACACGATCTAAATGGATGTGAAAACGTGCAATTTTCATCAAGTTTTAAAACCTCAAAGAAATGGGAAAAAAAAAACTGTGGCAACAGAGCATTTTTACCCCTCCCTGGAAGATTGTTCATTTAATTTTCACATTCCTGCCCTTTTCCCCCCCAAGAAGTCATTGCTGGGAATTTCCCCTTTCCCTTTAAAACTCTTGTTAGGCAACTGCTCAAAAAAATTTCTCACCTAGCTGGTAGTAATAAAATTACACATTTATATACAAAGGGTGGATTTTAAAAAGGGTCCCTTTTGGCAGGGCTCAATGCTCTTTTTGCCCCCCTTTTCCCCTTTTTTAAAAAAAGATTTAAATTTGTTGGTTTGGCATAAGAATTAACAATGGGCTTTTACCCTGCTAACTGAAATTTTTGGGAATTTCCTTTAAAGGCGTTTAAAACAACCTTTTGACAAGAGCCTGACTCTTAAACTTTATTTGATAAGATAAGTTTAAATAAGATTTCGTTCGGATTTTTTAAACCCCAGGGGGTTAGCCACCCGGATAACCCAAGATGTCAGTGCGGGCATCGAGGGTGTCTTAAATTTTTTCCATTTTGGGGGGGTTAATTTTTTCCCCCAGGATGCGACCCCCACCAGTCGCTAACACCCGGTTTCCTAATTTTCTGCTAGGTGAAAAAGGCAACGGTGTAAGGAAAAGTGTCGAAATTTTTTCTACCCGCCGGGGGAAACGAATCCGGGCCCTCCGGTGTGAATGGGGGCTTTAGGGGCCCAAAAGGCCACTGGGCCACTTTACTAAATAATTCCCCAACAACATTTTCTCTTTTTGGGGAAGCCAGGTATAGATTTCTCAAAAAAAAAAAATTAGGGCAAAGGAAATTTAAAGTACAATTTTCTTTTGGATCCCATTTACACATTGGAAATTTTCCTTCTTTATCAAATTGAAATGTTTTGCCAAGAAGAGGGACCCAGAAGGAGAATGGAAATATAAATTTGGGAAACGGGGTCCTAGCATTAGGAATAATATTAGGAAAAGAAGTAAATAATGAAAAAAGAAAGTTATAGGAAAGCAGTTAGAAGGGCCCGATAACAAGTAAAATAATAAGTTTTTCAGGTATACACAAATACAGTTTTCATAGAATTTTCTTTCATAGCAGGGATAGGTTGAGAACCTTTAAAAACCAAAAAAGTCAGAGTGAATTAAATTTTTATTTGGGAGATTTTATAACCCCCCTTTATAACAAAAAAGGAAAATAAGTATGTTTTTTGGAGCAACGGCAAAGTGAAAAAGACTGAAATGATTTTTGTTTCCCGCTTTGGGTTGGTTACAAAAAACTGACTGTTTGTGGGCCGGGTTAGGCTTGGTTACAAAATACTGACTGATGTTGAGTGGCCAGGTTTGGCTTGGTTACAAATACTTCTGTTGGTGGGAGACACACAGATGTTATAAAAATAAATGGGAAATTATGTGATCACATATGGTTTTCCCGTCCCGAATACATTTCTAAATGTTTCCCCCTTTTTGAGGAATACAAAGACAGACAGTGTAATAACGTATGTGACATGTCAAGATATCTTATTAATGAAAATAAGATACCAGATATACTAAGCAAATTTCCTAAATTAGCTTGTAACAGATAAGTGAACTATAGATACGTAGATATAAATCCATATGTATTCCTGTTAACCCTTTGGGGCCTAGTTCCTAGGTCTTTTGTGTATCCATATGCTCTCGCATATGAATGGGGTGCAAAATAAACTAGCCACTTCGGTGGCAAAATCTAAATCTCCAATACTGAAACTATGTACTGTGCCAAAACAAAAGCATTCACATTGCTAAACTCACAAACTAGTATTTAGTCACTTAGCCATAATACCAACTTACCTCATAATTTGTAATATTTTAAAATTAAGAATTAAACTAAGTCTGCCCGAAATGCCTAGCCATGCTAGGTGTTCTAGTGGTACACTCTTTAATTATTATTTTACTACATGTAAACCACACAATAACCAAATTCTGTAAACTCAGCATTGTAAGCCTTATAAAGAATAAACTTTGAATTTGAATTGAATAGAATAGGAAGGTTAGCACAGGCACCACTGTGACCACAAATGAAAGTTTTTACAGACGAATCTCCAGCTAGCGTGGCCGTGACGAACTCTAAATTACGTTTAACACGTTAATGTGACTTTGTAAATGGCCCAAGTCGGACCGAAACGTCGTCGTAAGCTCCTCTCTTCAATGTTCAGGTCATTTGCATAAGAAATGACATAGATTGAGTCAAATAAGGCGGGTTAGCGTCATCCATGAACCACCTGTAGGTGAAGGTGAGAAATATACAGTGCCAACACTGACAGGCAGACTACACACATGTTACCTTTCTAATATGTAAGTTAGTAATTACCTCTTATGTAGGGAGGAGCACTGTGCATCCAATATAGATTTTCTTTCATACCTTGCACACTTAATTATACTTTCTGATAGTAGGTACTGTAGTATGCTATGTGTACTTATAGTCATGTGAATCTTAATTTTTGTATTCGGTTTCTTTGTAGTAAGTTTATTCAGGTATACATAAATAATTACATAGATTAACATACATAGCAGTATATGTGACCCAAAAAAAAGTTAGTGACTTATTTCCATTGGGGTCCTTTGCAGCCAGAATTATTATTATCATGGAAGCGCTAAACCCATAGGATTATACAGCGCATGTGGGGGGATGAAAGGTATTTAGTCTCAATTCAAGGAACCGGAGCACAGATCCAATTCCCTAGATCAAGAGCCCCTCACCAGCATCAAGGAACCTCCCTTGAAGGGTTTACAGCCAGAAAGATTGGTTATGTTGTATCTGAATTAAAGATGAACACATTAGAATGTCTCTGACCAGTAACAATGATCCAATATACTGTTTATATTCTGATGGAATGGCCTGATTAAAGGAGTATTGGTTATTTTGCATATTGTGATATTACCTGTTTACTGCACCTATTACATACATAGAACACTTAACTCTGATATTAACCCTCCCCTCAAACATCTCCTTGCCAACCTCAACAGAACACATGACCATAACACAAGGCACAGATCACTCTTTGATGTTCCTCGTGTCCATCTCACACTATGCAAAAACTCAATGCACATAAAAGGCCCTAAAATCTGGAATTCATTACCTGTAAATATAAAAGAAACACAACCTGTTTATAAATTCAAGTCTCTTCTCAAAGATTACTTACTCACCCAAAACCAAATAAATACTGAATAACTGAACATTATAAATTTTATATCTTAAATGTTTCTCACAATTATATCACATAAATGTTAAACCTAAAACCCAATCTAACTTTATTATTTTTTAAATACACTACCTAACAGAATCACTACCTAACTGAATGCAACCATGTGACCTGTCTTTGTAATACTCACTTGTGCTTTATAGTTATCTGTTTACATTAATGTTTTATCACTGATTTCATCATTGCTTAGTAGCAGCGCTGTATAGTCCTTGTGGCTTAGCGCTTCTTCTTGATTATAATAATAATAATAATCATTGCTTAGTTAATCTTAAGTTAATTTTAAGCCAGCCCGTAATGCTATGCATAGTATAAGTGGCTTTGGCATACTGCTCTTATCTGTATTTTTTTTTGTACCTCTGTATGTGTGCACAAATTGGAAATAAATAAATAAAATAAATAAATAAATAAATAAATAAATCTTATTGCATCAATGATTACCACACCACTCTGGTGGCTTCACACGGCGAGGGTCTGGGTTTGATTCCCAGCGAGGGTAGAAACATTGGGCGTGTTTCTTTACACCTGTTGTCCATGTTCACCCATCAGTAAAATAGGTACCTGGGTGTTAGTGGACTGGTGTGGGTCGCATCCTGGGACAAGGACCTAATTTGCGGGAAATGCTCAGCATAAAAAGGGACTTTCTATATACTAGTATGTCATTATGTCAGCTAGGACTGTATACCTTGTACATGTACTTGTAGTAATAAAAGATATTATATTATGTCCTCAGTTAACATTCTTAATCATATTTATTTTGTTTCCCAGTTTTCCTCTGCAGTGATCAAGTCTAACATGACCTGGCCTGGACATGACCTGGACAAGCTTAAAATTGGACTTAATTTTTAAAAAATACTGTTTGAATAAGTTTTGCCCAAATCTCTTTTACCAAATAGACTCATTGACATGAAAAGTTGTCCTTTTGATGATTTTATGAGAATTATTCTTCAGAAAAATTGAAATTACTAAAATACAGAAAGAAGCATTCAAAATATTGAGAAACAAAAATTATTCCTTTAATCAGACCATAGTATGTTAGATCATTGCTATAATTAACTCAGAAGAATTTATAATAACTCAAAAACAAACTACGAAGAAAATTAGACATTTTAATTGAAAACAATGATTGGACAAAGCACGCTAATAACAATTTTGTAATAAATTTATCAGATGAAATATTAGATAAAAATACAACTGCTGCTCTAGGTTTTGGTCTAAGTTTTGCAACTTTAAAAAACTTAATGCTGAAATTGCAAAAGCCTTTTGTAACTTAGAAAAATCCTCTGATTTATCCAGTGATGAAATTAATATTAGTAAGGGGATGGTATATAGCTCTGTGTTAAAACAAAATATTCCCAGTTACCCTCAAAGATTTTTTAAGTCTTATGATACACTTCTTAATAATAAAAAAATTGCATCTTTCTAAAGCAGATAAAATAAATGCAGTAGTAATTTTGAAAGAAACTGATTACCAAGATAAAATGAATAATCTCCTAGATGATACAGAAACTTATTCTGAGCTTAGAAAGAATCCCTTAGAAACTGTTAAAAGTAATTTCAATAAAACAATATATGTAACATCTACTGAAAAGCAAAGATGAATTAAAAAATTTACTTCCACTAATCCATCTTTACCCTATACGTATGTATGGATTAATAACCAGGTAATCCAGTTAGACCGCTTAGCTCCATAGGTTCAGTTTCCTATATATTAACAAAATTACCACCTTCCCACATGTTACACTGTAGTCTGGCTTGGGAAAATATTTTTCATGGTGATACTTGAATAATATGGAAGGATGCTCATAATGTAGTAGCTTTTTATGTATTGATTAAAGATCAGTAAGGTATTTTTGAATGATTATGAGCAAATGTTGAAGGATTCAGGGAAAACTGGTTAGCAGGATTTGAGTTGTGGAGGTGAGAAGCACAGTGCCTGTACTCTGGAGTTTACCTGGAGAGAGTTTCGGGGGTCAATGTCCCCACGGCTTGGTGTGAGACCAGGCCTCATGGTGGATCAGGGTCTGATCAACCAGGCTGTTACTGCTGGCTGCATGCAAACTGATGTACGAACCACAGCCTGGTTGGTCAGGTACTGACCTTAGGTGCCTGTTCAGTGCCTTCTTGAAGGCAACCAGGGGTCTATTGGTAATTCCCCTTATGTATGCTGGGAGGCAGTTGAACAGTCTTGGGCCTCAAACACTTATTGCGTTGTCTTTCAATGTACTCGTGGTGCCCCTGCTTTTCATCGGGAGAGTGTTACATCTGGCGAGTCTTTTGCTTTCATAGGGAGTGATTTTTGTGTGCAGGTTTGGTACCAATCCCTCCAGGACCTTCCAAGTGTATATTATCATGTATCGCTCTCGCCTACATTCGAGGGAATACAGATCAAGGACCTTAACCGTTCCCAGTATTTAAGTTGCCTTATCGTGCTTGTGTGTGCCGTGAAAGTTCTTCGTACGCTCTCCAGGTCTGCAGTGTCTCCAGTATAGCTGGGGATGTTACTCTTCAGAAGGTCATTTGGATTCTGATGTATGGACTCTTTTTGAAAGACAGCTGAGGAATGTGTAATGGTGAATGTATTTCTGCTGCAAGTCACTATACTTCAGTTCAAAATAGCTAATGTAGTAACTAAAAAAATGTTGAATTCCAGAGTTATTAAATAGCTACTAGAATTGTGACTACCAGAATACAGTGGACCCCGGTTTGTGATATTATTTCATTCCAGAGGTATGTTCAGGTGCCAGTACTGACTGAATTTGTTCCCATAAGGAATATTGTGAATTAGATTAGTCCATTTCAGACCCCCAAACATACACATACAAATGCACTTACATAAATACACTTATATAATTGGTCGCATTGGAAGCTGATCGTAAACCAGGGGTCCACTGTAATTGACTATCCAATTATTGCAAAGAATATTTTTTCTAACTTTATGCATCTTTAGGCCACTTTTACATTTAAACAGTAAGTTAGTGCACTTAATACTGCATTATATAACTTCACCTAACAATAGTATGTGTTTTCCTTGTTCATGTGTAAAGCCAGTATTCTCCACTAATAATAATATAATAATATCTTTATTCACTACAAGTACATGTACAAGGTATACAGGCCTAGCTGACAACAATGACATACTACTATATAGAAAGCCCCTTGTTATGCTCCGCATGTCGGGCAAATTAGGTCAGTGTTCCAGGATGCGACCCACACCAGTCGGCTAACACCCAGGTACCCATTTTACTGATGGGAAACATAGACAACAGGTGGAAAGAAACACGCCGAATGTTTCTACTCTTTGCTTGTCCTTGCAGTCGGCACTTGGCCTTCACCAATGGATCATCAGACTCCTACACAACAGATGACATTGACAATTGTGATGTGTTCTTGTCCTCACCAAGACATGCACAAACTATTACTCCTACTAATGTGTCTGACACAGAGACAGATACTGTTACCATCACTAATTTCAGGGATAGCTGTAAATATTAAATCTGCTCAGTATTAGTATTTCAAAGTACAGTATATCTACAGTGCCTGTATCATTTTACATGCGTTAATGAGACTAGAAATATCCATTGATATGCTCGTTTGAATACTATTTTAAACTTTTATTTCTACTTCACTTATACAGTGGACCTTCGGCTAACGATATTAATCCGTTCCTGAGAGCTCATCGTTAGACAAAATTATCATTAGCCGAATTAATTTTCCCCATAAGAAATAATGGAAATGCAATTAATCCGTTTCAGACAGCCAAAAGTATTAAAAAAAATATTTATTTATTTATATAATTATTTATTTATTTATTTATTTATTTATTTATTTATTTATTTATTTATGTCTTTGCAAATAGTACATTGAGATTATGTATTTACAATAGTGGGTTGGAATGCAAAGAGAGCCTCTATTATGCCTAGGCATTATGGGCCAACTTAACATTATTGGCTTACAGACTACTTAACACTAAGTAAGGATTTTATCATAGTTGTACAGTAAAATATTAATTATATTTATTTATTTATTTTATGTCTTTGCAAACAGTACATTAAGATTTTATATTTACAATAGTGGGTTGCAATGCAAAGAGAGCCTCTATTATGCCTAGGTATTATGGGCCAACTTAACATTATTGGCTTCCAGACTACCTAACACTAAGGATTTTATCATAGTTGTACAGTAGGACAGTAATTATTTCATAGTTGAACAGTAGATTATTAATTATAAGTGAATTAAATTTGTATAATACAAAGGATATATTCATATAGTCTAAAATGCTTTTTGTGAAAAAAATGGTTCAATTATATTCCTGTCAACAATGGATAAAAAGTTCAAAGTGATTGTTGAAGTTATGATGTGGGAGTACATAGGCGAGTATGTGTGTACATGTACTGAGTATTTAGTGTTTAGTCTAGGGTGATTAAGTGACTTTTGAGAAGAGTCTTAAACTGATTTTCAGACTGGGTTACTTTAATATCTTCTGGTAATGAATTCCATATTTTGGGGCCCTTTATGTGCATAGAGTTTTTACACAGTGTGATATGGACATGAGGTATATCAAAAAGAGATCTGTGTCTTGTGTTGTGGTCATGTGTCCTGTTTAAGTTGGTGAGGAGAAGTTTGAGTGGAGTGTTTATATTTGTGTGTATTGTTCTGTGTATGTAGTAGGCACATGAATAAGTATGGATGTTCTTAATGGTGAGCAGATTCAGACTTTTGAAAATTGGTGGAGTATGCTGGCGGGAGTGGGAATTCGTTATCATTCTTACTGCTGCCTTTTGCTGGGTAATGAGGGGTTTTAGGTGATTGGATGTTGTTGATCCCCATGCACAAATTCCATATGTAAGATAAGGGTATATGAGTGTATGGTACAGTGCCAGGAGAACTGATTGTGGAACGTAGTACCTTATCTTTGATAGTATGCCTACAGTCTTGGAGATTTTCTTGGTGATTTGTTGTATGTGTGTCTGGAACTTAAGGCTACTGTCAAGGTGGATACCTAGGAATTTTCCCTCTGTGAGTCTTGTGGCTGATGATCCATTTAGCGTTATATTAATTGGATCATTTGCAGCTTTGTTTCCAAACTGAATGAAATAGGTTTTATCAATATTCCGGGTAAGTTTATTAGTCATCATCCAGGCAGATATTTTCTGCAATTCGTTATTGACTGTGTTTGCTAGTATGACCGTGTTTGGGTGGGAAAAGACATGTAGTGTCATCTGCAAATAATACAGTTGTACAGTAGATTATTAAATATAAGTGAATCTAATTTATATAAGACAAAAGATATATTCATATGTATTCAAAAATGCTTTTTGTGAAAACACACTATACATTTCCCTACAAAGAAAACAATGAGACATGCACAATAACTATATAAATGACACTTACCTTTATTGAAGAGTATTGATGAGTGATGAGACACTGTTTTTCTTGAACACTCTGGGATTTTCAGAGTGATACATGAGTAAAGCCTTCACTTTGCAGTCCCACTAGCATTACAACAAAACATGAGAGTTAGCTAGTCTTTTATAGGCTTGTGTCCTGGGAGTGCCTTTTCCTCCTGAGTAATGTAGGTCCTGTTTGGCATTTTCTTCCAGAACAGGCCTGTTTCATCACAACTGAACACTTGTTGGGGTTGGAATTTTTCAGCTTTGCCATGCCTTATCACACTGTGTATGCCACTATTATTCTTAAATCTCTCAAACCAACCTTTGCTGGCCTTAAATTCACCAATATGAGCACTAGTTCCAGGCATTTTTCCCTGTTCACTTGGGTGTTAATCGACTGGTGTGGGTCGCATCCTGGGGGACAAGATTAAGGACCCCAATGGAAATAAGTCAGACAGTCCTCGATGACTCACTGACTTTCTTGGGTTATCCTGGGTGGCTAACCCTCTGGGGTTAATTGTTTCTCGTTAAGCCACACCAACAACAGTCTCCCCACATCTTCGAGTAGTACAGCTGATGGTGGTGCAGCAGCAGCTGACCATGGTATGATAGTATTTTGATAGTATTTCTCACACAGGGTTGGCACTAGAAGCTTTCTTTGGGCTCATGGTGGCTTATTTAGCAGTTATAAACACTATAAACAATGGAATAATACAAAATGTATCGAATGTATGCATGAAACCGGCCACCCTGGCTTGTAAACAATAACGGCAAGGCAGCTGAGGTGCTCAGGCTGGATGGACAGGTTCAGGACGAATCACGTTGGTCGAGTTATTGTTAGGTGGGCCAAAATTTTTACGTTGAAATGCTTCGTTAGGCGGATTTAACGTTATGCGATGCATTCATTAGCCGAGGGTCCACTGTAATGTGTTGACTCAGTTTACTTGTTATTTATTCAAACCAAATTTGTTTTAAACCTGAGTTCTTTGGCCAAATAAATCTAAATCTGGCATTTCCATTCTTCAAATTAGCAATTTAAGATATTTCAGATTAAGCATGTAAGCAAAGATTCTCCTCTTGCAGCAGTGACAACATAAGAAGCGCAGTGAGCAAGTGTCCGAGGATTGACAGGCTTGGTATCTCTCCTAGACAGTGACAAAACTCAGTTATGCTGATGGCAGTGGCAGTACCTCTGGCACAGCGACAGCACCACTCTCTGGCCACCCTAGCACTCGTAGCTCAGGTAAACCCAGTGCTAGTGACACATTGCCTCAGTTTGGGTGACCCGCTATCAGACACATAAGTTTTTATATTTTTCAAGTTATAAATAATATTGTGCAGACTTCAGTCCTGGAGGTGGAAAGTACAGTGCCTACGCTCTGAAGGAAGAGTGGGGATATTTGCAGTTGTGAACTGTAGTGTCAGTGCCCCTCTGGTAAGACCGTGATGGAGTGAGTGATGGTGAAAGTGTTTCTTCTTGTTTAGGTCACCCTGCTTTGGTAGGAGACAGCCAGTTTGTGGAAAAAAAAAATTGAAGTACCCTTCTGGAACATTTCCCATGATGACATTTTTTCTCATTGCTGTTTGCATTCCTTTAAAACAGGAAATCTCTCATCGACTGAATGTTGATTTGTTTAAACCCAAAATGGGTGGAGTAAATTTTCTTTAAATACATGTAGTGTGTGTAGGTGAGCTCAGTTTTTATCAGCTTCATAGGAATGTAATTTTCAATCGTCCAACTGTTAACCTTCACATCTTTTAGGGCCCATCACTCCAGGTGGTGGACATAGGCCAAGTAGCTCAGGCACAGTCAAGCCCCTTGACCCTAGCATTGACTTAGAGCTGGATATGAGTGTGTGTATCAGCTCGGGCTTGTGTAACCTGTATATCAAGTGTGTGTCTAAGGAGAAGAGGGGCAGTTTCCACTTTCACAGATTTTTTTTTTTTTCAAAGTGCAGTGCTTGTCAGTCAAGCAGGCCTATAATTTATGGGGTCCTTTTGGTCACTCTTTTTATTATCTGTTTCCGTGAAATGAAATTAGAATATTCCAGAGTGGACAGCTTTTTCTCTTAATGTGTTTAGAAAAACTAATGATTGCTTTTTTTTTGCTATTGGAATAGTTTGCTTCATTTATATTGGTATGATTTCAATAATGGTTTAATTAATGTGTTTTTTCTCTTGTGTAACCTAAACTTCCTTGTAAGTGTATAAAGGGTGGATGGTGTTTGTTTGACTTTCAAACTTGTTACTTTAGGCATTGTGCATTGCCTAAATTACTGTTTGAATAATATCACTATATTCTTTTCTTAGTAAACATCACATTAATATAAATGTTGGTAATCTATACAGCAAATTGAAAAAGGAACAAAGGTTTTCTGGGGGTATATCAGAAACCCCCAGTATTCAGGCCTTGCTTTGTAAATAAAAAATATGAAGCCCACACCAATGTCTCAACTGGTAAACTACGAGCACCACCACCACCTTCACTGTCTGTGTTATCTGACACTGTCTTCTATATTCCTGGTCTTGATATAGATATGTATAATACTTGTGTTTTACTGACCTAGACCAAAACATTCAGTGTAATGATAATGCTGACCAGTCCATATTCACTATGGGATAGCACATTTAAATTTGATGTGGGTAACTTGTTTTATAAAATCATGGATTAACCTTCAGGGTCTGTGCCGTAGTTCTTGCCCATAGCTCAGCTCAGATGAGCTGAGAGCTGTTATTTAGGGAATAGTTATGAGAGAACACATCTATTTGGTATGTGTGCAACATATAAAACAAATCCTGCAGCACACAGTGCATAATGAAAGGAAAAAAACCGAGACCGTAATTTTCGATTAAAACAGTGACTTTGCATGTTGTTTTCATGTGTTTTTATAGTTGTATTTGTGATTTCTTGGTCTCATTGATGAAGGCAGATGTTTTACAGAAATAGAGATGTTTTGTTGGGGTTTTTAGCAGGGAAATGGATTGAAACTGAGCTTAAAGTAGGGGGAAATGTTTAAATTTTTGCCGATTTTAAAGAGTAAACAAATGACCTTATCAAATGCCCCCAACTTTTGGGTCTGATTTGTTCACAAATGTGGTGATATTATTTATAAAATTATTACAGTTTTGCAAAACAGAAAATTCCCATTTTTTGGTTTGAATAAAAATTCTTATGTAAAAAAAAAAACAAAATGGAATTAATTTGAAAAGCCTGAAAAACATAAACTAAGAACAGTGGAAAAGAATTTTTGTGCCCGGAATCCTGTATTGTTTATTTTGGACCTATTTCAGTTTGGAATATTTTAACTTTGCTTTAAATTTTCCCCAAATTACTAATTTTCCCATCACTTATTTTGTTTGAAAAAGTTGACTGGGCGTTTCTTGTGTCATTCAATAGAATAGAAGAAAAATTTATTTTAAATAATAAGAATTTGGTTTTTGGGTTTTTAATGTAAATTTGGGCCTAAAAAAGGGGAAACAAAGTTGGCAAAAAAGCCCAGCATAATACGCTGAACATCAAAATTAGCGAGAGCATAATTTCGTCAGTTTTCCATTAGATTTCGTACTTTGTTTTATTACCTTCAGGAAAAGATTCTCTAACATTTCATAAGAAAAAATAACAAAATTTTTTTTTTTTTTAAATTCTTGGACCCTGGTGGCCACTTTGAAATTTGCCTCTGGACCCTGAAAGGGTTCAAGTTTATTAAAGGAAAGTAATGGACTTGGAAATGTATTGATTGCAATGTTGTTATGAGTTATGTAATACAGCGGCAAGTTAGTCATGATATCCATAAGCTGGTAGTAACTGATAGTAAAGTGCCATAGAAAATTTTTAATGTAACAGCAAATTCATGTTCTAAGTGCTGAATATCTACACAGCTTGTTTCAAAAATTATATAAATTAATAAACTAAAACAGATCTCTTAGATTTAATAAAAGAGTTTAAAAAACTGAGAATTTATAGAGTTTAAATTCTCTCCAGATTTTTCAGTCTCATTTATTTACTCCAGCTACTGATGTTTAGGTTATTGCTTTTGTTGTGCCTAGTGGACTACTGGTAGATTGTGTTGATTATGTTTTGTGATTGCTGGGATTCCTTGTTCTCTACATACATTCATTTTCCTGGAAGAGATGGCCTTACATACTCTCTCAAGTGTTTTACCCAGTTTTAAGTACAGTAATGAATACATTCACTAGTTAAACTTCATTACAATAAAAAAGCATTGAAACTTTTTCTTTCTTACTATACTGGCCATTGCATGCCAACGTAAGGCAACAAAAAAAAAAAAAAAAATTCACTATCAGTCATTCAGTAGATGCCGTAATGCTCAGACATCACAATTCAAATGAATCCCCACCTTTTCCCTTTTACAAAAAACTTTGTATGCTCTCTGCAAATTCTTAGATACCTTCCCTTCTTTCATGCAGATATTGACCAAATACAAACTACTTCCTCATTTGCTTTAAGCATCTCAGTCTTAATCTTCTTATCACAGCTGGTTTATCCCTTTTCATTCTGCCTATTTCCTCATGTGCTTGCACTCCACATTCACCTGTCTCTTTCTTATTCACCAAATATTAGTTCTTTCCTACAGTCTCCTTTTCATCGTCAGCATTTAACAATTTAAAATATTCTCTCCATCTTTCCAGCACCTCCATATTCCTTCTAATATTCCTTCTAATATTCCCCAATGGAAATAAGTCACTCTGTCTGACTTTTTTTGGGTTATCCTAGGTTCCTACACATATGCTGTTGTATGATAATATATGTAACTGTATTTGTGTATACCTGAATAAACTTACTTACTTACTTATTCTAATATCTCCTCTTTTTCTCTCCATACGCTCGGTCTTCGGTGTATCATTCAAAATCATAGGCAGAGAAAATTTATTATTGGTCAAGTTTAGTCCTTCTTTCCTAGATAAATGAGCTGAAATCTCACAGGTAAGTATAATAAGTTCCCATATCCATAGTAATAATGAATACACTGTAATAATGAATTCAAATTTGTGATTATTTATTTTCAGGTCCACTATGAGTCACACAGTATTCATAAAAAAACTCCAGTTTGGAGTGGTGGTGGTGGGTTTGGCAGCAGCAATGCAGGTGTGCTGCAGGAGGGATCCGGCTGGTCACCTGCCGGCACAACAAGAGGCAGCGGTAGTCTGGGTGGCAGCAGTTCTCCCAAGAGTGGCATCAGCAGTGGCGGTATCAAGTGTGCCTCGCTCTTCACTTGGCTAACCTGACAGAGCATTCAGAAAGAGACCACAGTGAGCCCTAACATTCTGGAGTTCCTGGAGTTAGCTCTGGAACCTCTGCCTGTGCCTGAGCCCCAAAACAAGTCTCCTGCTGCCTCTCAAGGTCTGATGCTTTCTTTGTCTTTGTGTTAGCTTTTGTTAAGTTAGACTAAGGGTGCTACTCTGTCGAACTGTTAATATTGTGTTAAGTGTAATGTGTTACTTCACCCAAGCTTGTGTTTCAGCTATATTTTTCCCTCTTTTTATTGTACAACTTATTCTTTACATTATTTTAGTTTTGTAGGTCAAGAAAATATCAGAAATGACAAAATTCATAAGTTCCTACATTCAAACCTCTTATTCACCAAGGAATGTTTCTGAGGCATTTACAAGAGTGAGAATTCACAAAAATTATTTATTTTTTTATCCCCAAATTTGGGTTAAAATTTAATTATATATAATAATAATAAAGGATCAGGTCCTGACGAGTTGTTGGAGTGTGAGCAGGGTGATATTTTGTGAAAGGATTCAGGGAAACCGGTTAGCCAGGCTTGAGTCCTGGAAATTGGAAATACAATGCCTGCACTTTAAAGGAGGGGTTTGGAATATTGGCACTTTGGAAGGACTTCTAAACTGTCATATCTGAGTACCTCTACAAAGACAGTGATTATGTATGAGTGGTGGTGAAATTGTTGAATGATGATGATGAAAGTATTTTTCTTTCGTTTTGGGTTTTTCTTTCTTTTTAGGTTACCCTGCCTTGGTGGGAGATAGCTGATATGTTAAAAAAAAATTATAAAGGGAAGATGTTGCAGTATTCCTGGTGATGATGAGAGTAAAAAAGTTAGGAAACTTATCAAGAAAGTAGTGTAGAAGATACGAATGTTGCACAAGTCTGCTGTCAATGCCAGGAAAATCCCTCTGTATCCCCTCTTAAAAGAATAAAGTATTAAAGATAAAATAAATGTGGGAACACTACTGCTTAGTGCATGTCCAAGTTCATGACTGACACTGCATTGTTGAATATTATTGAAAGGTTACATGAATACTTAATAAACCTAGACAGGGCATCATGTCTTTGACATCCCTCTTGTTGATTCTTCAGAAGGAAACCAAAAAAAATGGTGGACAAGAGCAAGGGAAAAATTAAACTTATATTGTTTGTAAAAAGCAAAGCTAGTATGAAAGACAAAATACAAAAAATTAAGAATAAAACAAGTTAAGATAGAGGTAAGCTTTTATTCAGAGAGTGGTAGAACAATGGACCGGGATGTAAGAATTGGTAGCAAGTTTTATGACCATTGGAAATTTCAACAAATTATATGATAGATTAAACACTGAAGATAGGAGACCATAATTGGAGCTGTGTTCCTTTAGCTGTCAATAAATACAGTGGACCCTCAACCAATGGCATTAATCCATTCCAGAGAGCTTGCCGTTAGTCGAATTTGCTGTTGGTCGAATTAATTTTCCCCATAAGAAATAATGGAAATAGAATTAATCCGTTCCTGATACTCCGAAGTATGAAAAAAATTTTTTTTTTTTACATGAAATATACATTTCCCTACACCAAAACGAATGGGACATGCAAAATAAACAATAATTAAATGCCACTTACCTTTATTGTGGAGTTGTTGTTGAGTGATAAGACAGTAGGAGGGAAGATGATGCAGGTGTTTTATTGTTTGGAAGGGGAATCCCCTTCCATAAATACTTCAGGTACCATGTCTTTTGGTGGGTTACCTCCCTTCTTGGTTTTTTAATGCCACTAGGACCAGCTTGAGAGTCAATAGACCCCTGTCGCACAAAATAGCTGTCCAGAGAGCTCTGTTTCTCACGTGCCCTTAGGATTTCCCTAAAATAGGACACAAGAGTGTCATTGTATGTGTTGCCAATACAACTTGCAACTTGTGTGACAGGATAAAATTCATCGATAAATGCTTGCACCGTTGTAAACATTGAACACATTCCCCTAATCCTTGACGAAGTCATCTTCCTCCATCTCTCTTCATCCTGCTCTGAAGAACATTCCTGAGATGTGATCTGTTGCTGTTGCATCTGAAGCTCTTGCAGGTCTGCAGTGGTTAGTTCTTCCTACACCAACTCTTCCACATCCTCACCACAAACCTCCAATCCCAAGGACTTCCCCAATGACACAATAGCTTCCACTACTGGCATAGCCTCCTGAGGGTTAGCCCCAAACCCTTCAAAATTCCTCTCTTCTACACATTCTGGCCACAGTTTCCTCCAAGCAGAGTTCAAGGTCCTCTTAGTCACTCCCTCCCAAGCCTTACCTATAAGGTTTACACAACTGAGGATATTGAAGTGATCTTTTCAAAACTCTCTTAGGGTCAATTGGGTGTCTGAGGTCACTTCAAAGCACTTTTGAAACACTGCTTTAGTGTAGAGTTTTTTGAAGTTTGAAATGACCTGCTGGTCCATGGGCTGGAGGAGAAGGGTTGTATTAGGAGGCAAAAACTTCACCTTAATGAAACCAAACTCCCCTGCAATTTCCTTTTGCAAGTCGTGAGGATGAGCAGGAGCATTGTCCATTACCAGGAGACACTTGAGTGGCAATTTCTTTTCCTGGAGGTATTTTGTTACAGTGGGGCCAAACACACCATAAAACTAGTCCAAGAAAAATTCCCTAGTGACCCATGCCTTACTGTTTGATCTCCACAGCACACACAAATTACAATTGATGATATTGTTTTTCCTGAACACACTGGGAGTTTGAGTGATACACCAATAAAGGCTTCACTTTGCAATCACCACTAGCATTACTACACAACATTAATGCCAGCTTCTCTTTCATAGGCTTATGTCCTGGGAGTGCCTTTTCCTCCTGGGTAATGTAGGTCCTGGTATAAACCTTGGTAATAAATACCGACAAGTTGGTTTAGAAAGACACGTAAGCAAACACTATAACATATTTATTAGAAAACGTTTCGGTCCTGGGACCTTGATCAAGGTCCCAGGACCGAAACGTTTTCTAATAAATATGTTATAGTGTTTGCTTACGTGTCTTTCTAAACCAATGTAGGTCCTGTTTGGCATTTTCTTCCAAAACAGGCCTGTTTCGTCACAATTAAACACTTGTTCAGGTTTTAAGTTTTCAGTCTCTATGTATTCCTTAAAGTCCTTCACATATTTTTCAGCCGCTTTTTTGTCTGAACTGGCTGCCTTACCACACTGTGTATGCCACTACAAATCTTAAATCTCTCAAACCAGCCTTTGCTGGCCTTAAATTCCTCAGCAGCAGCACTGTTTTCAGGCATTTTCTTAATGAGATCATCATGCAACTTCATTGCCTTTTCACATATCTCCTGATAATTGTTTTTCGTGTATCCATGCCAATAACAGTCTCTCTACCTCTTCAATTATTTGTGGTCTCCGTCGTTTTGAAAACATACTTGAACCTTTTGCAACAACAGCTTCCTTGATTGCCTTTGTTTGCCAAGATAGTACTGATGGTTGAATGTGATTTGTTGTATTGCCTTTCCAACTCAAACATATGCACTCCACTCTCATATTTTTCAGTTCTCTCTTTCTTCATTTCCATCGTAATTCTCACCCTTTTTAACACAGGCTTGGCACTAGGAACTTTCTTCGGGCCCATGGTGGCTTATTTAATGGTTACAAGCACTAAAAACATTGGAATAATCCAAAATATATGGCAGGCACACATGGAATCGACTGCAACAGCTTGTAAACAATGGCACACTGACTCTTGGAGTGGCTGGACCCACTCAGGCCGCGTTCCCGGCACATGGACACGTTCCAGACGAACGTCATTGGTAGTTTTTCACCGTTGGTAGAGACATTCTTTTTATGCCAAAAAGCGCCATTAGACGAATTTGCCGTTACTTAATGCCACCATTAGTTGAGGGTCCACTGTACTGTAATCATCCAATAGGTGCACTGTTAAAAATTACCATGTATCAAGAGGGGGTTTTTTATGAGCGTTTCTTTGTATAGTAGTAATGGTTTTTCTACTTTACAGGAGAGTCGGTATTCAACGTGGACATAGATACTTCAGTAGTTGCTGGTGGCAACGGTGTGCCTTATGTTTACGTATCTTTTCCTGTGGACATTGGTGTTTACTTCCATGTGCAGCCTTCAACCACTAGGTGAGAATTCTTGAAATAAAAAAAAATTCATACGAATGTCTCCAACATAATATAGCACATGAAGGTTGGGTAGTTTGTACAGATGTTCCTTTAAGGAATTCAGAAACAGCATTGGACACTTAACCCTTTCTGTGGCAGTCACGTAAAAGTACATCATTGATGCCAGGGCCCCTTGCATAGATCTATACTCAAATTTTAATGGCTTCAGATTTAGCAAGAGAGGCCTCATAGGCTTACATATGAGAGAATAGGTCTGTGCTCAATATGCAAAAAATCAGGGCTCTATGCAGTGCACTCTGAAAACACTATACAGTGGACCCTTGGTTATCGGCCATAATCTGTTCCAGAAGGTTGGCCGAAAACCAAAATAATATTTCCCATAAGAATTAATATACATACAGTTAATCCATTCCAGACAAAAAATATTCACAAAAAAATAATTTTTTTAACATTTATTTTATTAACACATCGGCCAATTCCCACCAAGGCAGGGTGGCCCAAAAAAAAAAAAATTTTCATCATCATTCACTCCATCACTGTCTTGTCAGAGAGGTGCTTTACACTACAGTTATAAAACTGCAACATTAACACCCCTCTTTCAGAGTGTAGACACTGTACTTCCCATCTCCAGGACTCAAGTCCTTTATTGAAGGCTAATGCTGGCTTCTGGAAGATAGGGAGGAGGAAAGAGGGAGGAGTTAGTGTTTGGAAAAGGAATTCCCCTCCATAAAGACCTTAGGTAGCAAAGCCTTCTCTGGGGTTACTTCCTTTCTTTGTCTTCTAATGCCACTAGGACCAGCTTGAGTGTCACAGGACCTCTGTCTCACAAAATAACTGTCCAGAGTACTCTGTTTCTGGCATCTCTCTAAGATTTTCCTGAAGTGGGACAGGATTTTGTCACTAAATGTGTTGCAGATATGGCTTGTTTCAGATTTGTCAGGGTGGTACTTCTCTGACTAAACTTTGCACATCATTCCACTTTGCACAAATGTTCTTAATCAGTGAAGAAGGCACCTCCTTCACTCCCTCTTCCTCCTCCTTGAAGCAAGTTCCTCAGCTGCAGTCTGTTGCTGTTTGAGTTGAAGCTCTTCAGTGGTTAGCTCTTCCCTGTGGCCCACCAACTCTTCCATATCCTCACTACTCCCCTCCAACCCCAGGGACTTACCCAGTGCCACAATAGAGTCCACAGGGTTGGCAGGGTGAGGGTCAGCCTTAAACCCTTCAAAATCCCTCTCTTAGACACAATCTGGCCAGTTTTCTCCAAGCAGAGTTCAAAGTCCTGGAAGTCACTCCCTCCCAAGCCTTACCTATAAGGCTTATGCAATGGAGGATAGTGAAGCGATTCCTCCAGAACTCTTAGGGTCAACTGAGTGTCCGAGGTCACTTCACAGCACTTTTGAAACACTGATTTGGTGTAGTTTTTTTTTTTGAAGTTAGAAATGACCTGCTGGTCCATGGGCTGGAGGAGGCAAGAACTTCACTTTTATAAAATTGAAGTCCCTAAACACTTGGTCTTCCAAGTCTGGAGGATGTGTAGGAGCGTTGTCTAGTACCAGGAGGCACTTGAGTGGCAATTTCTTTTCCAGGCGGTATTTTTTCACACTTGGGCCGAACATCATTAACCCACTCTTTGAAAATTTGCTTTGTGACCCATGCCTTATGGTTAGTTTCCCACATCACACACAACCTATCCTTCATGACATTGTTTTTCTTGAACACAATGAGATTTTCTGAGAGATACATGCATAAAGGCTTCACTCTGAAATCCTCACTAGTATTACCACACAAAAGAGTAAGCCTATCTTTCATAGGCTTGTGTCCTGACAGTGCCTTTTCCTGCTGTGTAATGTAGGTCTTGTTTGGCAATTTCTTCCAAAACAGGCCTGTTTCGTCACAATTGAACACTTGTTGGGGTTCAAATCCTTCAGCCTTTACATAGTCCTGGAATTTGTGAACATACTTTTCAGTAGGCTGGTAGACAGCAACCACCCAGGGAGGTACTACCATCCTGCCAAGTGAGTGTAAAATGAAAGCTTGTAATTGTTTTACATGATGGTAGGATTGCTGGTGTCTTTTGTCTGTCTCATAAATATGCAAAATTACAGGTACGTCTTGCTACTTCTACTTACACTTAAGTCACACTACACATACATGTACACATTTATTTATACACACTCATCTAAGTTTTTTTTTTTATTTTATTTTACTTCTTGTTCTTATTACTTTTCCTTTTATATCCATGGGGAAGTGGAACAAGAATCTTTCCTCCGTAAGCCATGTGTGTTGTAAAAGTCAACTAAAATGCAAGGAACAATGGGCTAGTAACCCCCTTTCCTGTAATAATTACTAAAAAGAAGAAGAAGAAGAAAATTGTCTAAGTGGGAAGTCTGAATGTGCATGGATGTTGTGCGGATGATAAGAAAGAGATGATAGTGGATGTTATGAATGAGAAAAAGCTGGATGTCCTGGTTTTAAGTGAAACAAAGCTGAAGGGGGTGGGTGAGTTTCAGTGGAGAGGAATAAATGGGATTAGGTCAGGTGTTTCTAATAGAGTTAGAGCTAAAGAAGGAGTAGCAATAATGTTGAAAGATAAGCTATGGCAGAAAAAGAGGGACTATGAATGTATTAATTCAAGGATTATGTGGAGTAAAACAAAGGTTGGATGTGAGAAGTGGGTTATAGTAAGCGTATATGCACCTGGGGAAGAGAGAAATATAGAGGAGAGAGAGAGATTTTGAGAAATGTTGAGTGAATGCGTATGGGAGTTTTGAACCAAGTGTGAGAGTACTTGTGGTTAGGGATTTTAACCCTTTCAGGGTCCGTCCTGTAGATCTACGGCTTTACGGTGAGTGTCCAAACCGTAGATCTACGGCATGAGCTCAGCTCACTCTGATAAACTGTGAGTGGTACATTTGGGCCTAGATATGAGAGAATACATCTATGTGGTATGTGTGCACCACATAAAGCAGATCCTGCAGCACACTTGTGTATAATGAGAGAAAAAAACTGAAATCACGATTTTTCGATTAAAACAGCGACTTTGCAGTGTTTTTTCGTATGTTTTTTATAGTTGTATTTGCGATTTCTTGGTCTCATTTGATAGAATGGAAGACATATTACAAAAATAGAGATGATTTTGATTGGTTTTAGCACTGGAAATGGCTTGAAACTGAGCTCAAAGTAGCGGAAATGTTAAATTTTTGCCGATATTCAAGAGTAAACAAACGACCTCACTCATCTAATACACGTCAGCTGGTGGGTCTAATATACATTCACAAATATGGTGATGATATTTATACAATTATTACAGTATTGCATAACAGGCCCGGTGGCCTGGTGGCTAAAGCTCCCGCTTCACACACGGAGGGCCCGGGTTCGATTCCCGGCGGGTGGAAACATTCCGACACGTTTCCTTACACCTGTTGTCCTGTTCACCTAGCAGCAAATAGGTACCTGGGTGTTAGTCGACTGGTGTGGGTCGCATCCTGGGGGACAAGATTAAGGACCCCAATGGAAATAAGTTAGACAGTCCTCGATGACGCACTGACTTTCTTGGGTTATCCTGGGTGGCTAACCCTACGGGGTTAAAAATCCGAACGAAATCTTATCTTATCTTATCTTATCAAAATGGAATTTATTTGTAAAGCCTCAAAATGTAACTAATGAACAGAGGAAATGTTAGTTTAGTTCCAGGAATACCTACATTGTTTATTCTGGAGCCTATTTTGAAATTGGAATATTTTGAACTTTGTGTTAAATTGGCCAAATTAACAATTTCCGATCACTTTATTTTGTAGTTGAAACAGTTGATTTGGCGATTTCTTGTGCTCAATCGATAGAAGTAATACTAGTGAAATAGCTAAGAATTTGGTTGATTGGAATAATGTAATTGGCCTAAAATGGGAGTCAAAGTCGGCAAAATCGCCAACTCGTGAATATCGCTGACACATCAAAATTCGAGAGAGCATAATTTCGTCAATTTTCCACCAAATTTCGTACTTTTTGTTTTATTACCTTCACAAAAAGATTCTCTACGATTTCATAAGAAAAAATAACAATTTTTTTTTTTGAAAATTCTTGGACACTGGTGCGTGACTTCAGATTTTGGCCTTGGACCCTGAAAGGGTTAATGCTAAAGTGGGTAAAAATATTGTGGAGGGTGTAGTAGGTAAATTTGGGGTGCCAGGGGTAAATGAAAATGGGGAGCCTTTAATTGAGCTATGTGTAGAAAGAGGTTTGGTAATAAGTAATACATATTTTATAAAATAGAGGATAAATAAATATACAAGGTATGATATAGCACGTAATGAAAGTAGTTAGATTATGTATTGGTGGATAAAAGGTTGATGGGTAGGCTCCAGGATGTACACATTTATAGAGGGGCAACTGATATATCGGATCATTACCTAGTTGTAGCTACAGTTAGAGTAAGAGGTAGATGGGATAAGAGGAAAATGGCAACAACAAGTAAGAGGGAGGTGAAAGTGTATAAACTAAGGGAGGAGGAAGTTCGAGTGAAATATAAGCAGCTATTGGCAGAATGGTGGGCTGGTGCAGGTATGAGTAGTGGGGGTGTTGAAGAGGATTGGAATAGTTTTAAAAAAGCAGTATTAGAATGTGGGGCAGAAGTTTGTGGTTATAGGAGGGTGGGTGCAGGAGGAAAGAGGAGTGATTGGTGGAGTGATGAAATAAAGGTTGTGATAAAAGAGAAAAAGGTAGCTTATGAGAGGTTTTTACAAAGCATAAGTGTTATAAGAAGAGTACAGTATATGGAGAGTAAAAGAAAGGTGAAGAGAGTGGTGAGAGAGTGCAAAAAGAGAGCAGATGATAGTGGGAGAGGCACTGTCAAGAAATTTTAATGAAAATAAGAAAAAATTTTGGAGTGAGTTAAACAGGTTAAGAAAGCCTAGGGAACAAATGGATTTGTCATTTAAAAACAGAGTAGGAGAGTTAGTAGATGGGGAGATGGAGGTATTGGGTAGATGGCGAGAATATTTTGA